TCATCGCCTCCACGTGCATGCCCCACCGACGCTGGCGGGTTTGCAGCTCGGCGTCCCAAGGCGGCACTCCGCACTCATGCATCGCACGCTTCGCCTCCGGGGTAGCCCGCTGCAGCCATTCTACCCACGTCTCCAGTACTCCATCCGGTTCCCGCTTGCGGCTCCGCCCCAAGATCATGCGAGTCATCTTCAGCTGGGTGGATCTCAGCCGCGCCATCCTCGACTCTGTCATCACCCAAGATACGCAACCGTCACAGCCGCCACCAGCTTGTTGATCTGTTCGATGATATACTCGCTCTTGGTGTCCTCTGGGAAGTTCCCGAAGGTGACGGCGCGCCTCTTCTCATCGTCCTGGCCGGCTGACCTGAGGCCTCCTCCACCGCCTCCTCCTCCTCCGCCGCTTCCTGTTCCTGCTACCCTGCCGACTCCTACCCCTTTTCACGATGTCTTTAACCAATTGCGGCAAAGGATGTCATGTAAGGGGATATGTGACCTTGACAAGGGGATATGTGACGCTAGTGCCCTCTAAAAGCTTGAGGCGCCCTCGTGAGCTTGAGGCGCCCTCATCATCCCCCCCACGGACCCCAAACCGCGAGTTTGACCCCCTCTAGGGCCCGATACGACCCCCAATTGAAACGCCACGGGGGAACGGACGGCCTCACAACGTGCCACGAGGGCCCCAAGGGGCCCCCAAAACGGTCCAAGAGGGCCCCGAGCCGCCAAAAAAATCAAGCCAAGACGCCTAAGATGGCATCCGGACGGCCCAAGGTCCCCCCAAGACGCTCCCAGAGGCCTCTAAGAGGCCCCCCAGGAGGGCACCAAAAAACAACATTCTCCCCCTTCCCAGAGGAAACCTTGGCCTGTTGCGTTTTCGCAACGAAGACGATGGCCCAAGAGGCCTCCAAAATCGCCCCGAAACGGCCCAGGCAGCCCCCAACAGGGCACCACAACGGCCCAAGAGGGCCCCACAACGGCCCCCCCAAAAAAACAAGACGGCCCAGGGGGGCCCCAGGACGGCCCTACGAGGGGGCCCAGAAAGCGAACCCGTGCGGACATTTCGAGCCTTCGGCCCCAAGACGCCCCTGGGTTGCCCCCAGAAACCCATAAGGAACTCTGAGAGGGCCCAAGAAGCCCCCACGAGGCCTCCATGAAGCCCCCAAGAGGTCCCAAACTGCTTCCAGGACGCCCCCGAAAAGCAAGAGACCCATCAACCCCACAACACAGGCACGGTAGCGGGATGCCTACAAGCCTCCCCCGAGTAACTTCCGACGAGACCCCATCAACTATCCCACTGGCCTCACACCCACAAGCCAGGCACGGTGGCGGGATGGACCGACGGCCATTCGATGATCATGCGTCAACGGCGAACATACCTATCCCACCGGCCTCAGACCTACAAGCTACGCACGGTGGCGGGACGGACCGAAGGCCATTCGATAATCACGCGTCCACGGCGAACACTGCGAATGTCAGCCGCGGCAAATACAATGATCCCAAAGTGTTTCCGCCAGACATTGCCCCCCCCCCCCCCCTTCGTCCCCCGAGAACGCGCCGAATAAACCCCGCGAGACATATCCGACTCCGACGCACAACCAGGCTGGGATGGACCGAAGACTATGAAAGACTTCTACGAAAGACTTCGCGGTTAGGGACCCCGGACAAGGTCTCCAGGTCCAGGGTGCGCACGTGCGTTCCGGGGGTGCCGGCATAGCCCCCGACGGCCCCCAGAGGCACCAGCTAAGGCCCCAAACCTGGATCCTTCCTCTTCGTCCCCCTCCTGTTTTGTTCCTCCTCCTCCGCCTCATCCCCTGCCCCCCTCTAGCCCTCCTGCCCCTCATCCTTTTCTTCCTCGTCCTTCTTCTGCGTTTCCTTCTTGTCGGCTCCCTCCTCCTCATCAGCTTCGTTCCCCCTCTCGCTCTCCCTTTCTGGCCCTACTGCGACGAACCGCACAGAAGGCGTTCGAATGCGAATTATTTGCACGCTCTGCACTTCAAAATGCATTTTCTCGTCGCGCGCGACAGTGTCAGGCCTCACGGAGAACGACGATTTCGGTAGGTATCTCTTGCACGTGCCGCTGCACTGATACGCCTGCCAACTGCGCGCCGTGAAACCCAATCCCTGCAATCTGCGCATACGATTTGCACTCCCCCCGTCAGGTGTTCCGCCTCCTGCGCGCCACTGATGTGCCCCTGCCGCGAAAACTCCTTCTCGAAGCAGCCCCATCACTCCTGTCCGCATCTGCAGGGGCTACGGGAATTATCAAGTTTCGTGCCTCTCGAACACGACCCCGAAACCACGACTAGTCCCAAACACCATATTCATGAAATTGTTGACGCTTCGCGAATCCCCACCAGCCCATCCAGAAACGACGCCCAGAGGAATTGCCTGGATCAGGGAAGTGGGCAGCACACAGGGGGAGGAAACCATTATGAGACATCTGGTGGTATCTTGAGCCATCTTGGAGGTCATCTTGGGCTCCCCCAGGCGCTCTTGGAGTCATCTTAATCAGTGCTCCCCAAGAGGCCAACATGTGGCTAAAACCGTCGGGGCATCAATGATATGGCATTCTCGCCGAGGCCTCTTGGAGCATCTTGGGTGCCTCTGGGGGGTCTCTTAAGGCCTCTTAGGGGGTCTTTTGGGGGCCTCCTGGGGGCCTCTTGGGGGCCTCTTGGGGCCATCTTGGGGCCTCTTGGGGCCTCTTGGGGCCTCCTGGGCCCTTCTTGGGGCCATCTTGGAGGAGATCGATCAAACAAGAGGGGAGCATGAATTAGCGCTCCCCCTCTTCCCAGGAGGCCTAAATGGGGCCAAAAGCCGGGTGAAACTAATGATGTTGGCTTCCTCGCCGAGGCCCTTCTGGCATTCTCGCCGAGGCCTCTTGGAGCATCTTGGGAGCCTCTGGGGGGTCTCTTGGGGCCTGTTGGGGGTATCCTGGGGGCCTCCTGGGTGCCTCATGGGGCAATCTTGGGAGTTCTTGGGGCCTCCTGGGCGCTTCTTGGGGCCATCTTGGAGGAGATCGATCAAACAAGAGGGGAACGTCAATTAGGATACCCCCCAAGAGGCCTAAATGGGGCCAGCACCCTGGTAAAATCAATGAGTTTGGCTTCCTCGCCGAGGCCGTTCTGGCATTCTCGCCGAGGCCTCTTGGAGCATCTTGGGTGCCTCTGGGGGGTCTCTTGGGGCCTGTTGGGGGTCTCCTGGTGGCCTCCTGGGTGCCTCTTGGGGGCCTCATGGGGCCATCATGGGACTTCTTGGTGCCTCCTGGGCGCTTCTTGAGGCCATCTTGGAGGATATCGATCAAACAAGAGGGGAGTGTCAATTAGGATGCCCCCCAAGAGACCTAAATGGGGCCAACACCATAATAAAATCAATGAGTTTGGCTTCCTCGCCGGGGCCGTTTTGGACGCCCTGACGACTCGCGGCCCCCCCCTCTGGGTCCACGGGGAGGGGGTATGGGGGAGGGGTCAAGTCTCCCTCCCCGCCCGCAAGCCGTCTCGCTCACTCCCACCCGCCCCCCCAACACATACGTAGCACCCGAGCCTGGCCCGAGCCGCAACATATTCAGCAGTCGTCTTCGGATGGGCAGCTACTGGGGGCGAATCCGCCGCCGCCGCCGCCTCCGCCGCCGCCGCCCAACGCCGCCGCCGCCGCCGCCGCCGCCGCCGCTGTCCGCCGCCGCCGCCGCCGCCCCGCCCGCCGCCGCCGTCCGCCGCCGCCGCCGCGCCGCCCGCCGCCGCCGCCGCCGCCGCCGCCGCCGCCGCCCCGCCCGCCGCCACCGTCCGCCGCCGCCTCCGCCGCGCCGCCCGCCGCCGCCGCCGCCGTCGCCCCCGCTGCCGGATCACCGCCGCCGCAGCCGTTGCCGCCGCAGCCGCTGCCGCCACCGCCGCCGCCGCCCCCGCCGCCACCGCCGCCGCTGCCGCCGCCGTCGCCGCCCCCGCCGCTGCCGCCGCCACCGCCGCCGCCACCGCCGCAGCCGCCGCAGCCGCTGCCCCCGCCGCAGCCGCCGCGGCCGCCGCCGCCAAGAATACTCTGTCTTGTTTTTGGCATGGCTGGTAGGGGAGGCCGCATCGGGTTCGCTGCGCATGCTCTGAATTTGGAGGCAGAGTGTGTGTTGTATTGTTTTTTTACAAGGGATGGAGGGGGGCGCATTGACCCAGGTTGGCTCCCAGTCGCCTGGGGGAGGGGGTGTATATTAGTAGGGAACAATGATAAACCTGTACCCGAAGGGGAAGAAGGAGGAGTGGAAGAGGAAACGCTCTAAACCACCGACGCCCACAAGGCTGGTGGGACTACATACCGCCGCCGTGAAGGCGTCCACCACAGCCGGCGATAAAGGACATACAAAAACAAGGCGTCGGCGGATGTGGCGTAAGCCGAACAATAGAATCGTAAAGCTTCCCCATGAGCGAAGCAATAAAGCTAGAAGCGTAACTCCGGGATTGCTCATTGAGAGAGCTGGAAGGTTCCAGAGAAGAAGCAGGCCGGCTAGGCTGGGCAGCCTCACTCCTGCGGCTGGCGGTCAGGCAACCTCGCAGCTCCTGACCCATCCAAGGAAGGCACTCGCGATAGGCCTGGTCGGGGATCGGGGATCGGTGTGTGCGGGGGGGGCGTCGTCGGCCCTATTCTCCTCTACTCCTCCTCCTCCACTCCACCTCGACCACATCCTCTAGGCAACCACATGCAAGCCCTGCCCCTGCAGGTCAGATTTCTGAAAAACTGGCAACGGTTCAGAAGTTCAAGGATGGCTGCAGCCAAGTGAATCCAGGTGTCGATGCCCCAGTGTCGATCGGACCCGAAGGCGTAGGGTTCGCAAGTGGTCGCAGACTTCGCCCCCCCGTCCTCTTCCCTCCGTCCTCCTCCCACCTTCCCCCTCCTCCTCCGCCTCCGCGTCCTACTCCATCCTCCTCCCCGTCTTCACCCCGTCCGTGGATCCCGTTGGCTGCACGAAGCTCTGCAAAAACAGGATCGCCACCCTCCCTTGGGGATGGGGTGCGCACGGGCGCCTCCTGGGAGATGTCGTAGCCGAGGCGACACAGCTCGTTGAACCACGCGGGCGTCAGGTACAGGTAACCTATGCAGACATCACGACGCGCTCGCGGCTCACATCTCAACCATCCAGCGCCATCCCTCCCCCTCCTCCTTGTATCCCCTCCCCCTGGGCCCTTCTTCTACTCCTCTGAAGCCCTGGCATCGCAATTGTCTCAAACATTTGCTTACCCTGTTTCGGACTCCGACCCTCACGGATAAATCCGGCTCGGAAACATCCGCAGCAAGATGGTGTCCAGGGCTCTGGTCGAGCCCGAGCCTTCCACCTCTAGAAGCCGCCCGAGACCGCCTGCAGGCGTCCAGGGAACACCGAACTGGCCCGAGGAGGCCCCCGAGAAGCCCACAGGAGGCCCCCAGGGGTTCCCCAAGAGGCCTCCCTCGTGGATTTCTTCCCTCTTCTCGGGGTCGGCGAGATCGCGCAAGCCTCTCGAATCAACAGAGGGATCCAAGGCTCAGGCCCCTGTGCTGACACGCGGTGGATGCTCAGTGCTCCCACGGACATTCGCACACTCGTCCCGGCGCTGCCGCCGGGGGGGGGGGGCCGCATGCGGCCCCATGGCGCTGGCAGTGCCCTGGGGCGGGCAGAACGACACGGTAGAATCCCACCAGCCCTCTGGGCGTCGGTGGTTTAGGGTGTTTCCTCTTCCACCACTCTTTCTTCCCCTGGGGGGAAGGGTTTACCCCTCCTCCTACCCCCTCCCCGTGGAGGGGTTCCGCGAGTCGTCGGAGCGTCCAAAACGGCCTCGGCGAGGAAGCCAAAATCATTGATTTTTAAAATGGCCCCAAGAAGCGCCCAGGAGGCCCCAAGAAGTCCCAAGATGGCCCCAAGGTGGCCCTAAGAGGCCCCCAAGAGGCCCCCAGGAGGCCCCCAGGGGGCCCCCAAGAGACCCCCAAGAGGCCCCCAGAGACCCTCCAGAGGCACCCAAGATGCTCAAAGAGGCCTCGGCGAGAATGCCAAATCATTGATTTCGCTAAGGTTTTAGCCACATGTTGGCCTCCTGGGGGGGAGCACTGATTAAGATGACTCCAAGAGCGCCTGGGAGAGCCCAAGATGACCTCCAAGATGGCTCAAGAGATCCCAGGGTGTCTCATAATGGCTTCCTCTGTGTGCTGCCTACTTCCCTCTCATCCAGGCACTTCCTCTGGGCGTCGTTTCTGGATGGGCTGGTGGGGACGTCGAAGCGTTCACAAGTTCTCGGCAGACGAGCAGAGCAAACCACCCAACGCCCAGTCTGAACGTGCTCTGGACGTGCATCCTGCGAAGCGAGAGGAATCAGCATAACGATGGGGACCAAGGCTCTGGTCGAGACGCGACGTCGGTTCTCACGGCCCCCCCCCCCGCTCCGAGCCGCTCTCCTCCCCGGCCCGCTGCTCCTGCCGTTCCCGCTCCTCCCGGCCCCTGCCCTCACTCGCCCGTGGTCCCACCCCCCTTTCCGCCGCCCCCCCCCCCCCCTCTCTCTGCCCTCTGTCTCCCCGATCTCCCTGCCCTCTCCTCCGCCTCAAGCCGGAGCGCAGGGCAGGAAAGAAGACTCATCGTCGCGTTTCCGATCGGGATGTAGGGAGGGAGGGAGAGGAGATTCAGGTTTCAAATGTCGATGTCGGGCCCAAGTCCGAAGACCGATGTCGAGACAAACAACAATCAGGCGGGACCCGCGAGCCAACAATGGGCCAGATGGGGTGGGTGGCCGAATCAGCGGCAGCCGCGATAAACACGAAGAGCCCGAGAGGGCCGACGGGCGGCGAAGACCCAGGTCGGACGAAAGGGGGTTATCGCACATGGGGGGCTGGCGAATCAGCTCCCCTCGCCGATTTTCCTCAGGCGCCCATGATGCCGAGGAAGGGGCCTCGCGGCAGGGCTGAGATCAGCTGCACGCGGCAGATTTCTTTGAGTCCGCCTCCCCGATCCCCCCGTGTCCTCGATAACAAGGGATACGTCGACCCCTATCCCAGGCTTCGTGGGGTTTCCGAATGGACCAGAAATTTGGGGCCCAACCCTGGGATATACGATGGGGGGGTGCCCATCCTCGATAGGGGTGCGTCCGAATAGCCCCCTTGGGGTGTATCCCAGGGTTTTTCCATTTTTCTAAGCGGCCAAACTGTTTGGGCGAAACTCGGGGATTGGGGGAGAAACATCGCCTGCGACTCGACCCGAAGGACGAAGTCGACGGCGCCGAGCCCCGACGGTCTCCAGACGTCCGCGGACGTGCCCGGAGGCCTCCGTGGAGCCCCACGGCCTGGGCTGGCGCTGGACCCTCTCTCCCGTCGCGCGAAGCGCGGAAGGGGCGGCGGAGGAGGCGCCCAGGCAGCTCCGACCCGAACGCGCCACGCGGATAGGCGGGCGTGTGTGTGTGTGTGTGTGTGTGTGTGTGTGTGTGTGTGTGTGTGTGTGTGTGTGTGTGTGTGTGTGTGTGTGTGTCTGCGCCCCTTCTTGGCACTGGACAAGCGCGTTCCACTACTCGCATATGGCCTGGATCCGCCGACGGGGAAGTACGATCCATTACGTAGAGGCGAGACACGTGTTTCTTTGTCGGACGTTTGCGAGTAGGCACTTTGCGAGTGGTGGAGGAACGCGCTCGGTGAGCTACCTGCCATCTCACTCAATTTGTTGTCTGTTGCGGTGTGATGGCGAACGCGCGGCACAGCTGAAGCCAAGCCGGGGCCGCTGCAAACCCAACTTACACGAGGCAAGGGAGCTAAGCGGCGCGCCTCGATATCAAAAACATGAGCGACGAAACGACACGGCTCTTTAGCGCCCTTACGCCGCGGCTTATGCGGGCCGCCAGCGTGGCACACCGCGTGGAGAAGCGGCCCCGCACCCGCGACCTTACGCGAGAGGATTACCTTGCGGCGCCCATACGAGGGATCAGATAGCGATACCGTTACTGAGTATCGTTTAACCGATCCCCGTCCCCAGCGGCGTGGCCTGGGCCCCACTGGCCGATTTACCCCCCTAGATGGGGATATAGGTCGTTTCCTTCGGGCTTCGAGGGGTGTGTCCCCAACTGGAGGGTAATTTGGTGGGGGTCTCGAAGGGGATGGGGATGGGGCTGGGGTAATTGGCTGAACGGTACCGACATGGCGCTACCGCTGCAGCCATGGTGCCACCGTGCGAGGCGCGGAATCAGGAACGGAGGCGCTTTCCTGGCCACGGCCGGCCTCGGCCACGACTGTCACACAGCTCAACTCGAGGGGGACTGGGAAGGGGGGGGGGGCCTGGCGAAAGAAGACGCGCGTGGTCGCAAAGAAAACACCCGCTGTAGAAAGGCGCAGCCGCGGCGAAGGCGACGACCGCGCGCACTCGATCCCAAGACAATGTAACTTGGCAGCCGCGACTCGCGCGAGATCCCGAAGGGGAAGAGCGTGTCGGCTGTGGCGCTGGGCTCATAGCTGCTACCCCGAATGGTTCGAGCGACAATGAAGTTTAGCAATAAATGCCAACCGACGATATAGGCAGGTCAAAGAAATGAGGGGAATGAGAATAACAGAACGACAAGAAACTACGATCCAGTCGAGCCATACTTTTTCCGCATGGCCTTGGGGGCCTGGCCATAGGGGCGGGCCCCAAAAAATTGGAACACCGCTCGAGTACGCAATGGCCAGAACCGAGTTGCCCCCCCCCGCGACCGACAGCCCCCGCCCGGCTGCGCGAGGGCGCCGCGGGAGCACCCTTCCCCTGCAGGGCAAAGGCGGGAGAAATCAACCTGAAGGCCCGACACGGCCTCCCTGGCCCTGCGCAGGGAAGCGGAGGTGAGGCGAGCAGAAGGCGACCTAACGGCTGCCTCCCCCCAGAGAGAAGCACGATTGAAAGACTCGGGAGACTTTCGCATCAGGTTTAAGAGGTTTTCCCATCACACTCTTCAGATGTTTGCCCACGCGGAGCGCTCAACTGCGGCCGCCGGAAGCTCCCCGAAGGCAACCTCTGGCTGACCTCCCCTCTGCTCCCCCCTCCATTCCCCCCATGGGCGCCCACCTCGCATTTCCTGTGGGGATTAACCATTGCAGAAGTAATCCTTTGCTCCAGATTGAGCCCCAACACACAGCTGGAGTACATTGGTGATGACGGCCCGTGCATTGAAGATGGCATATGCAGTTGATGCCGATGGCAATGCTGGCGATACATGCCTATGCAGCGTTCAGACAAGGATAAGGACGCTGAGAATCTAAAACCCCTGCAAGGGGCGACGCGAGGACTCCCCTGATGTCGCCTCCCCCAGGCCCCCCCCTACACCCTACACGCTCCCGCCAAGAGGAGCCAAAAGAGAATGGGTTCCCCGATCTGGACCTGAGCGGCCCGAAAATCAGAACACCTCCCGAACCCAAAGCGGCCCGTATCTCAACGTCTTGACTGGACTCCGTTGACATGACCAAGGATGAGCTCCGAGCAGGACTCCTGGGGGGGAACTCCAGTCGTGACGCCTCGGGGGGGCCCCCGGGAGGCCAAGCAAAAAGGCGAGAACGAGGGAAGGGCAGGGGTATTGGTATGTGTTTTTATGGCAGGTTCGTGTCGTGTCGACCCTGGAGTTGGTTCCTGACACCGCAGGGATCGTTCAACCTTGAACGATCGGCCGTTTCCGAAACGTCAGATCGTTCAACATCGACCGAGTCTGGATCGCCAGTGGCGTTCAACGTTGAGCGCCGGCGGCGGGGTCGCCGCAGTTCGACACGACGCGAACCTACCGTACTCTGAGCATCAACTTTCCTCCTCAAAAGATCGGGCCGAGGCTGCGCCTGCGAAGTTGCCGTGCGGAAACTTCGGCCCGCAGTTGCACAGCCCGTGGCAGCAGTCGCAGCAGCCCCAGGGGCCCAGCTCGTCGCTGTTCATGTCCAGTCGCTCGGCATCTTCGCTCGGTCGCCGCGACGTCTTGCCTCCCAAGGCTCGCAGGTCTGGGCTGCGCACGCCTCCTCGCTCGCCATTATTCTTCCTCCTCCTCCTCCTCCTCCTCATCATCATCATTCC